TATACAGATAATTGTATCTGTGTATTCAAAATGGTTTGGATAGATATATAGTTACATTCTCTTAATGAATAGAATGATTCTTGTACAGCAATTAACCACTAGGAAGAATGTATGCAGTGTGTTAATTATTGAAACTGTCCTACCGATTTGATTTACAACTGTCTCATTGCTATTTATCAATAAAATTATGGGAAAAAATAAAAATAAAACAGTATGGTTAGAGGGTAGCAATGACTAATACATTGCATATTGGTTTTTTGGGATTTTTTTTTGGCAGAACTGGGGATTGAACTCAGGCCCTTGTGCTTGCCAGGCAAGTGCTTATTCCACTGAGCATCTTCCGGGCCCCTGCATATTGTTAATCTTTAAATTAGTTACTCAGAGTATAAGATATCAGCATCTAATTGTCCCAACATTAGCATAAACCTGTCTTTCCCTTTTTTTCCCCTTTTTAAAAATAATTTTTTGTTTTGGAAGAACCAGGAATTGAACTCAGGCCCTTGCGCTTGACAGGGAAGTGCTTATTCCACTGAGCCATCTCCCCGGCCCTTTTTTTCCCTTTTTGAGACAGGGTCTCCCTATGCAGCTCCGGCTGGCCTTGAGCTCCCTTTTAGCCCAGGCTGCTCTCTGGCTCACAAGGATCCTTCTGGTCCAGCCTGAGTGCTGGGGTTATAGCTATGCATCCCCACACCCGGCTGCCTATCTTTTCAGTAGACGAAGATAAATTAGTATAACTATAACTATCATAGTTCCCTTTTTTTTAATATTTATTTATTTTTATTTATTACATTTATTTATTGTGTGTGTGTTTGGCCAGCTCAGCCCACCAGGGGGCGGGGCTGGCTGGCATGTGGTGCTGGGGATCGAACCGCGGTCCCTGTGCTTTGCCAAGCTTGTTTCAAGTAGGTGCTTTAGACCACTGAGCCATCTCTCCAGCCCCATAGTTCCCTTTTGCTTTTCCTTTTTTTCCTTCTTTCTCCCATCCCAGTTTCTCTTCCCTTTTCAAGTTTCTTCCTGTTTACAGTATCTAGTGTGCATTCTGGGTCTTACTATTTAAGCTTCCCACACTAGGGGCACAACGCAATGTGTACACGTGTGCCTGCTTTATTTCTGGCGAGTGTGGTCTCAGGTTGCATCCATTTACCTAAAAAGTTAAGAGGCTGTTCTTTTTGTACCCAGGCCACATGGCCGTTGCAGCAGTCAAGGATTGCAGCAAATGGGTATGGGGCGCCTGTTGGTCTTGGCCTGTGACTTACCCTCAGGAGGAGTAGCCCGCGGGTGATGGGCATTCTCTGTTCCTGATGGTGTGTCTTAGGACTACTGTTCTCTGTACGGAATTGGTACACCGACCTTCTCCCTGCTCTGTCACTATTTCCTGTGACCACGCAAATCACTCTGGGAGGGTTTTGCTCCTCAGACTTCCAGGTCCTGGGCAGCTGGGCCCTCAGGCAGGGGGCATAGGTGGGCTTGGCCTCCTCTAGGCCTCCGTAGTATTTCACCTCATGTGCTCCATCTCGCTGCTGCTTAATGACCTTTATCTCAAAAATTGGTCCCTTAATGAACCTTGAGTGTTTGAAATCTGACCATGAACTTTTCTGTTTCATCAAAACCTCAAATAATAGCAGACTTTTGGTGATTTGTTTCTGTCCTCTCAGACACGCGAAAAGAAGCACGATTAACACTGAAGATGTGAAGCTGTTAGCCAGACGGAGTAATTCACTGGTGAGAGACGAGCCCGCCCGCTCCAGTCCGCTCCCATCAGAACACATTACTCCCAATTAATCACCCAGCACTGGGAAGTCATTCTCCGGGGCACCTTGCATTAAAAACTCAAGGTGGCTGAACTGTTCAGACCCATCCATAATTTATAGTCTTTCTTTCTTGATGATGGATCTTGCTAGCCAATTTGAAATTTTCTAATCAGCACTCTGGATTTCATAACTTGCCTATTTTGTCATATCTCAAAAGCTTGCTGTGGTGATGTCACTCGTGCCCGGGCTCCGAAGGCTCTCCCTGGGTGCAGGAGGGTGGCTGAAGGCTGGACGCACAAAACGATACATTTCCCATCTTCCCAGGTCTAGGGATCTTTTGACTAAGTCTCGGTCTTGCAGAAGCAGACACGGGGCACCCAGAGGAGCTGTGATCCTCGCAAGCTGGGGTTGCCTTTTGTTTTTTCCTGGTCCTGGACACAACCCAGGCCTTCACCCAGAGTGACACCCCCAGCGTTTGTTTTTCAGACAGCACCTTGTTAGGTTGCTGACTTGCCTTGGCTGGGCCTGAGTTTTCAGTTGTCCTGTCTTAGCCACCCAGATTCGAGTAACATGCCCACCACCATGCCTGGCTCAAGTTTCACATTTTTAAGTTGTGATTATTCGAGGAACTATCACACCATTGTGGTGGAAGCTTTGTGGATAGTGAGGTCATTTTTGTAGTTGATTCCTTTGTCCAGAAGATTTTTTGAAAATTCAGAACTTTAGTGCAAGCTTTTCCACCTAAATTCTTTAGGTGAGAATGGTTGGGGATGGGGTAGTTAGTATTTGCAGGCTTATAAAACATTTTATGACCTCATTTAGATAGTGCTGTTTGTTGTAGTTCAAATACATCACAGAGAAATGCGAAGAGCTCGCTCAGCTGAACCAGGAACGAAAGGTGAAGAAGAAAAAGAAGAAGCCGGAGGATGGAAACCAAAATTCCAGGGAGCCAGCAGAGGCTGAAGGAGGAGAAAGTGAGGGGTAGGGTCCAGCAGAGAAGGCCCCTCTGGCAGGCAGAGCCGCCAAGCAATGCTGTTGCCACCCTGGGCTATGCAGGGTGAGTGGAGATTTGGAAAGGAAAGAGGCTGGATGGCTTTTGTGCTATGTTCTGTAAGGCTGAGCTGCAAGCACCAGCAGCTACGACACTGGGGACTTGAGTGAGGCACCCTGGGTTGCACTCAAGCACCTGGAAAGGTATGTTCCTCGTGTTACAGCACACTTAGTAGCTGACCTGGGTTGGCAAGTGGCCAGGTCAGATTTGTAAGCAAAAATCCTAGTTATTTTTTCATTGTTTGAGATAGTTTTCCAGGCTGAGTGACGACCTCTCAAAGATGAATAAAGCCGTATTATTTAGCACTCTGTCCCCTGTGTTGTTTTTGACTCATCATCCATGATCACCAGGTCACATGGTGATTTTGAGAATGGAGCTTTTCACTTTTTAAAAGTGATTTTCTTGAGAAACATGGTTCAGGTGACTTTTCTCTGGCAATTTTATAATTAGGCTATGGTTCTTCAGCACAGAAGTTTTGCATGGGAGGAAAATCTGGGACTGATTGCTTCTAACCTTTCAAGGCATCATCCTTTTTCCTTTGAGTGATGAGTTCCCCAAGGCCTGGTTCTCCGGTCCCATCTTCAGGTTTTGGAGCGCTCCAGGGCCTCTACTTGGTGGGGTAGCAGGGAGAGGGACTGGCATCTTCAGAGCCACTGTGGTCCGTGTAATTCCTTGTTGGATCTTTACAACTTTATCCTGACTAGAAAATAGGATCGGTGAGGTTAACCATGTAAGAGCACAGGCTCCTGATCAGTGCAGGTAGCATCTTCATTCAGGGCTGTGGGCTCCGAAGGGCAAGAGAAGGCATCATTTGGGACAGGACTTGTGCCATCCACGCCCAGGGGTCAGCTGCGGACATGCCAAGTCTGACTCGCAGGGGGAGCTGCCGGCCTGTGGTCACAGTCAAGCAGTGACCTCAAGCTTGAAGATTTCAGGTTCTGCAAATAACATCACTTGGTGCCTTATATTACATCTGTGTGTCATATTGGGGAGAGGAAAATGAGTCATTGGGCCTTCCATGAGGCAGGTGTGGTGGCACATACCTGTAGTCCCAGCACTATGGGAGGCTGAGGCCGGAGGATCTAAAGTTCAAGTGCAGCTTGGGCAAAGGCCCTGGGTTAATTCCCAGTACCATTAAAACTTTTAAAGCCTTCCATCCTGTACATTCAGCTAGAGGTGGTATCTGGGCACTTTACTGTTTAAACTGGTGGGGGCAGTGGGGGAGTGGGCACCTCAGGTTTCCCAGAGGCTGAAGGAGCTAGGTTTGTATCTTGGTATAGCAG